TTCTTTTTTCTTTTAAAGAGATGAATTTTGGGACCCTCCACGACTCCTCCTCCGGCACGAGCCGCGCTCATCCAGCTCAGAATTCCCCATTCCTGAATCTTTCCTCCTCCTCCTCCTTGCCAGTCTCTGCTGCTCCTCAGCCCAACAGCTCCAACCAACCAGAGGCCCAGGGGCCGGCCCGGCGTTACTTTGGTGACCGCGGCGGCACAAACTGCTCCTTCCCGACGCGCCGCGGGGCTCCCTGAGGCGAAGACCTGCGTCCAAACTGGCGCCTCTGTTCCCTGATTTTCCCGGCGGCTCCCCTGGCAGCTCCTCCAGGGCCACGGAACCCGGGGTAATCCTTCATCCGACCTTCGGCCTTCTCGGCAAGAGGAGCCTTCTCCGGAGCCCTCTCGGCCGGCGCGTCCTCCTCGGGTTTGGCGGGAGGGACGATGTTGGCGCGATGTTCCCGCAGGGGCTGGACGGGCACCGGGGGCGGCTCCTTCGGGGGCTTCTGGCAAACCTCGGCGTAGCTGAGCTTGCGGGGCTCCTTCGGGACCAAGGACAAGAGCAAGGTTGATGTGCCAGGAGCACCTTCCAGCCCGGCCCGGGGCCCGAAGGCACAGCAGCAACACCACGGAGGAGAGCGGAGAGAAGGGGCCGGGGCACCATCAGAAAGTTCCCCAAGTTCACCCCCTGCTCTGGGTCTTACCTGTGTAGACAGAGCAGGAGCTGCACTTGCTTGAGCAGAAGGTGAGGAGGAGTTTGTCCTTGGTGGCTTTGCAGCACTGACAGGGGACAGGGAGGCCGGTGGGGAAGCCTGGCTGGCCACGTCCTTCGGAGCAGACGCTTCTTCTGCTTTGCTCTCTGGCAGAACCGTGCTGAGAAAGCAACAACAACAATTCACATCAAAACCTGCTGGCACGTAAATGGAACGTTTCAGAGAGTAGCTCCTTGCTTTGGAGTCACAGCTGCACTTCAGCAGAACAGAATGGCACAGCCATTCCCACCAGCATTTGTTATTTCCATCTGGTGGCCTCTGGAGAAGCCGCCAACCACAGATGGAGAAACAACAGACATTATTGCCACCGTGCTGGACGCTGCTCTGAGACACTGCTAAAGCATGCAAATGAGTCAGCAGTGCCCTGGCAGCAAAAAAGGGTCACCATGGCCTGGGGGGCACCAGGCCCAGCATCCCTGGGCAGGGTAGGGCAGGGGATTGTCCTGCTCTGCTCTGAGCTGGGGCGGCCTCACCTCAGTCCTGGGGGCACTTTGGGCACCACGAGGTGTAAAAAACGTCTAAAGCTGTTGGAGAGGGTCCAAAGCAGGGACACAGGGATGGGGAAGGGTCTGGAGCAGCAGCTCAGGGCACTGGGTTTGTTCAGTTGGAGGAGACTGAAGGGAGACTCCTCGGGGGCTGCAGCTCCTCCCAAGGGGCAGCTCCGACCTCTGCTCCCTGTGAGCAGGGACAGGACCCAGGGAAGGGCTGGAGCTGTGCCAGGGCAGGGTCAGGCTGGATCCCAGGGAAAGGTTCTTCCCCCAGAGGGTGGCTGGGCACTCAACAGACTCCCCAGGGTCCCCAAGGCTGCCA